ACGCTGGAGGAAGTTCAAACTTCAGAGGTGGAACTTAATGCAGTAAATTTGCAGTAAGTCAGAAAATACCAGAAAAATACCAGATTTAGGCATATATACCAGATCTAAAATATTCATACCTGACACCTTCTGAAAATACCAGATTTGTGAAATCTGGTATAGAAATATACCATCTGGCAACGCTGGCGCGGTCTCAAACAACCGAGTACAAAAGTAGTGTAAACGGTTGTGCGCGGTGAGGCCCTGCAGCAAACGACTCAAAGCGCATGTCGTTGCCACTAGTGTAAACGGGCCTTATTAGAAAGATAGATGACTATTGCGCGCTGCTCTCTCGCACACTTGTATGTTCGTTCTTTCCTGTCAGCAACGAATTTAGTTTAGGGAATTTGTTGCAAATTGATATAGTTTATTGCCTCTTCTGACACTGAATTGTTGCCAAGGTGATCGTTTCAAATTTAAAGCACGCATTGACATACTTCTAATCTAATTTCATAACATGTATTTATTACACATTTCGGTATGTATTTATATTTACTGGAAACAAATACAATGACCATCGATAGCCTGATCCGAATGAGAAAACTGAGCGCACTTTCAATTTGGATATTTTATACTCACAAAGTTTCACATTAATCTTAATTAAAATGCATTCTGTCAACTCGACAAAGAATTAATTCGAACTTAAAAATAAATTAATACCTCACTAATTACTGATCAAAACTCGACAAAGGCACGAGTTCTTAATGAGGTTAGAGAGGCTCAGGTCCATGGAGTTCAACATGAAGCCCCACAGCGGCTTATACTTCGACGGTTGGAATAAACCTTTGCCAGTCAACGAGTGTCGAAGCTGCTGCTAGTTTGTTCCCTAAGCCCTACACTGTCTACTTTGGTAACACATTGGTTGCATAATCATTACTTCCTAGTTAATCCATACATATGAGCAATAAAAATTTTACTGTATTCTTCCGCGGTGTTGAAATTAGTGGAGGAAATTCAAATTCGAAGTTTCTAGTTAAAAAGTTGTTTATATTCCCAGTAGAATTTAATGACCATGTTTCCGTGAAGATAATTAAAAATAATTTATATTTATTTGTTATATTATCATACAATCAAATTCTCGATGCTCTATAAGCAGCTGGGAATAATTATATTCTTCTAGTTTTGATGTAATTTTGACTCGCGATAGCAGAAAACATTACAAATACCTATTATTTCTGCAGATTAATTCCATGCCTGCTTAGTATTTTGCTCACTACAAATATTTTTCTCATTGCAGTCCAAAAATGGATACTTTCATGCTGGAGATAAGCAGTTGAGGGTGTTGTACGAGCGATTGAGACCGGGCAATTATATCAGACGTTACTGATAAGAAGCACCGCGTGGTCATACGATAGCTCAGACAACAGTCGTCCGCGATAGCTATGTGTGGCGGACATTTTTAGTGACTCTCCAAACACAATTTGTTTCCGACAAGACCGCATCTGAGCGACAACCGTGTGTTAATTTTTTTCGTGTAAAAGAAGGATGATGACGGAGAAGAAATTGAAGTGACCTTGGATTGTCAGAAGTTCAGAACGCTACTTGTCGAAAAATTCACGCATTAATCATTTATGAGTGAAACATTGTTCCGCAGGTCCATTCGTCAAATTTCAAGAGCGATAGGGTTAAGCGGACCAAATGAGACCAAATGAATGATCGTTACTTAATACATATTATTATGATATAAACTTCTCCCGTTGAAATGTAGAATAAATGTTCTGGTGGGTTGTGACGCAAAAATTTTGGGCCAAAGCAGAAATTCTCATCATTGTAATAATCTGAGCAGTGAAATCCAATAACAATGAGACGCTGGCGGTTAGGCAAGCGAAAACTCCCGCAAAGCAAGAGTTTAGTGAACGTCAATCAGGTTGATGGCCAAACTTCGTGGGTTGAGTCGACACTGCGAACTGCCGCTTCGACCACAAATGTAGCATCTGACATTACCTTGGAGGTAAACCTATTTTCTGATGACTTCACGCATCCTTGTGGGACCAACGATGTTTCAAGATCAACTGACTTAGCACCTGACGACGGCACGCTAAGCGTCACAAATGAATCTTTTGAACAATCTGACGAAGTTAAAGATGAGAGGGCTTATATGTCTGATATGGGAGAACAAACTGTCAGCTCGTATAAGCAAGTCTACCGCAGAGATTACCCGTACAGGTCGAGATCATTACTTCCAAAGCCTGATTCACAGTTGCTTTCTCAATACTCTCATGCATGGCCGCATGCTGCCTCTCGTTCCACTGTGAGTCAATCCACAGAAAGGGTGGATCTCAAAGAAACCCTTGAACAAAATTCTTCAAACAACTCAGATAATTCCGGAGTCCCGAAACCGTCGGTGAGCCGCCGTGTGTCTGAAATTAATTCAAGGCCGAGCAACCCCACCAGTCGCAGCGGATCCTCTTCGTCATCAAACAGTCCCCGGTCCAGCACCTACAAATTACCTTCCACCTCAGGACATAAGATCGACGTCACCAGGCAAGTTCAACAAACCCAACTCGTCTGTTAAGCAGGTCCAATGTCACCAGGTCAGTGCAACAACGCGCTATTGAAAAAATGGCGTTTGTGTCTTCGAGCTAATTCAAAACGAATTTCTAAACTTGTATTCGCCCAACTACTTAAAATCCATACCCGTGGCTAATCGGCCTTTGCTTTTAATAGTTTTACATGTTTATTTGTGACGATTGAAATAAAATTAGCGGATTACAAATGTTTCAAAGCAATATAAGGCAAAAAAAAAAAAAATAATAAATAACAACCCGTTACCTTTCATCAAGTCAACCAAATTCGATATTTCATTGGGAGATATCCTCATTAGCATATAGTATTGAAATTACAGTATCTTGTGAAATTATATCAATTTGTTACCGCTTTCTGAATTAAATTGCAATTTCGGAATAATAATTGGAGACAGCAAACGGTTGTTCATCTGAAAAAATGTCATATCCTAGACTAAGCTTTCGAGTGTTAAATTCGAATTTTACATGTAATTACGCACAAAAAAATCGAAACATTAAAAGGCATTAAAGATCGAATCTAAGTTATAATTGAAATGAATGCATTCTTACTTGGAACTTAAATTTCTGATAGGAAATGGAAATTTGTTCGAGTCTTTCTTCAAATATCCTTGACAGTTCCCTCATTTTGAGATATCATTCCTTCAACACGGTAAATACTTGATTATCTAATTACAAGATTAAGGAATATTTTTCGCAAATAGAATCACCTCGTATGAGCTGTTTTGCTAGACATCATATATAGCATGAATGTTTTTATATTAATGAAAAATTATGTATTATCGGTTAAAGAACTCAAATACTAAAAACACAATTTTTCGGAAGAAGATATACTGTACATAAGATCGAAATATCTTTAATTATTTTAATGAATAACCTGCCCATATTCCTTCCATCCATTTCAAGTAGCATCGTGTCATCTCTGATGAGTTTTGTACTTAATGCATCAACAAAACATGGCGGTCTTTTTACATTGCACAATTGTAAGGTAAATAAGGCATGATAGGCATGATTTACTAAGATATATCATGCGACAAAGATCCAAGCCAGTGACCGGCTGATATTTTTTATGACGCTTTGGAAAGAGTCACCGGAAATTCTTTAACAATGAAAGCATCGCTCGAGTTGCGCGATCGTGGCGTCAAGATCATACTGATAAGCTAGCAGGTTATCATCGATCAATCGGTCCAGTCTTTTAGTGAACTCTCAAAAAGGAAAAGCTTGGTCGAGGTCAGGCTATTTCCTCACAAAAAAAGCGCGAATAGTCGGTAATATAAGATAAGATCGCAGCTATATAAATATGATAACGTAAAGTATCGCAAGTATCGCACGAATGCATAAATTCAGTCAATGGGGTTGTAAAATAAATCCTAGTTCATTTACGTCATATAACATATAACATACATAGCGAGGTCGGTGCTGAAGAGTAGGCCTGATCTAGCGGCCTGTTGCCGATTCTTGTACTTTTCGTGACTTGTTCACAGAAGATCCCAAAGCATGTCCTTTGACCGGAATTTTTCAAGACTGACGATAATTTGAAATAGCTACTAGACTTCCACCGGGTTCGATACGGTGCTAGGCATTTCAAGTCTGAACATATATTTATAGAACATATATTTATAGAAAACGTGCAACACACTGAACATGAATGATGGTTTCAATCGTTAAAGAGATGAATGAGAACATGTTATTCAGCTAGAATATGATAATTTTATCAATATAAAGTAAATTATTCTAGTTCTGTTGGTATTAAACTTCTTGGTATTAAAACTTCTTATTTAGGTTTAAAACTTCTGATTGATCAGAGGTTTTCAACAGAGTGGCTATGAACGGCGGATCATTACAGTGAAAACGCCTACTTAACTTACTCAAACCACACATGCAGCCCATAAAAAGGCATTGGGTTTAGAAGGGAAAATTTTATTCCTTTATGTAACTAAATGATAACATTAAAATACGAAGTTTGAACTTTGTAGCACTCGAGACGATGTCCCCGGGCCATCGTATCTCAGCACCGAGGCTCCGTCGATGTCTGGTCCAGTAACAATCGATTCGCGGGAGGAAGCTCACAATGAAAGGAATGACGAGTCTTCTAATACTGAAGAACATCAACATGATTTTCTGGCAAGAGATTCCCTTGTTGCGGCACCCAGTAATGAGAATAAGAAAGATGCGTTCTCGAAGAAGGCCACAAAGAAGATGCTCCGTTTGTTCATCGCGTTGCCGCACACTGAGAAAGCCTTAGATTGTGAGTAAGATATGCATAAATATTTGGCCTATGTCCGATAAAAATTTGTTTGACCAATACAAAAACAATTTCTATAGCATTCTTTGTATGATAATAACATAATTTATCTGATTATAATGAACCAGCTATAATACTTCATAGCATTTTAAATCTCATAGAGCTAAAATTTTAATCCCAATTATTTTAACTTGGCGCTAATATCAAGACAAAAAAGACATCAACTAATGTGGTCGGCAGCTGCTTTAAGTAAAGCAGCTGCCGTCCATATGCACATTAATATAACTATAACAAACAAATTTAACACCTGATGCATCACTCGACATTAAAACAGGATAGATACCGGTACCGACCTACCACTCTTCTTGTTGGTTGGTAAGCTATCTGATATGATATAGATCTTAGATAAGCGATAACAATTCATATCCAGCCACGTATTTCGTTTCACGGTCAGTTCAAAGGGCCCATTTATCAGTATTACAAAAGGTCTCGCTGCCAAGTCATCCAAAAATTCACTAATTAGTTAAACAATGAGCGAGCCAACATGCCTGAACATTTATTCGATACACACGGCACTGACAAACATTGGTCAAAGTCACGTACTGATGCCGAAAGAGTCAGAAAACATTTACTGTAAATTCAAGAAATCATAAATCGAAAAATCCATCTCAATAAAAGTCAAAATTAAAAATCGGGTCATAATTCAATTTATTCTTCTCGAAAATATAATGAATTTTTTAAAATGCCACAAAAATTTAGAAAAATTATTGCGAAAAATCAACGTTCGATCAGTACGAGATAACACTGCCTTGCTAGTTCGAGTCACTAGAGAAGCTATTCATGGTCCTTGCAACTGGCCAAATCGTGAATGATTGGTAATGTACAATTTGCAATAAGAAACTTCCTTTATATTTATACTTGCCAATATATTAGAAATGTATTTGCTAATGGCGTTCGTTATGAATTTTTCGCCACTGAATTTATAATTGAATTTCTCTGCTTCTTTAAAAATATTGCATGATTGCAGTGATTTTTTTAGGGGAGTTTTTGATCCACGATCGATGATTTGATTGCACTTTATCAATGCAAAATTTCATAAGATAATTAATGATTCATCTATTACTTTATTAGTAGTTCTACTTGCAGCAGAGAAATTAGATATTAGAAAACACTTATCAGCGATTCGTTGATAAGAGAATGATAGTAAATCTCGTCTTCAGATCACTGAGATATAGTAAATATCTTCATAACCAACCACGCTCGCAGAACAGGAGCCATGTATGCCCGTAATCACTGCTACGCAACAAACTGAGCAATAAAGTCTATCCCCTGAAAAAACAACCTTCAATGGGTTAACAATGGAGCACGTGGGCATACTTCGTGTACAGCAGACCCGTGACACATTAGATAATAAGGATCACATTAGATAATCGAATATATTGATATATTGAGCATAGTTCAGAATGGCAAAAATCTTCTAAAAAAATGGCATATAACAATGCTTGCATAAACGGTTGAGGTGTTTTTATAGACATGACTGTAGACAAAAAAGTTTAGTTGTATATAGAAACAGTATCTTACATATAAATTAATTTTCTTCAAATCGTCACCTTGATACTATTTTTATGAAATCCAGAACTGAAATAATTCGCTCCCAAATTCAGCAAGGCCATGGTCGCATATCGTCGAAATTTTCATATTGTCGAGATCGAAGAATTAATCGTCCAGAACATCATTCCAGTTCAAATATGAGTTACATATTGGAGCGAATTAATCTTTTTCGGACGAGCGGCAGTCAGAAGTAATTTTACTTTTACGTGCAATATAGCAATGCTGCAAGAATCACATATTACAATGAAAAATTTGATTGAAAATTTTGATAGTCAATACTTTCATGATTGATTAAAGATCTTATGTGACTGCCAATACTGGAAAAATTTGTAAGAAATTTGCGGCATTGCAACACCGCGTATTGCGTTTTGAAGTGTATCCGTGCAAGCGTGTTCATTCAATACATTAGATAAGAAGTTGCATGTAACAACTTAGGAATAGATTCAAAACAAACTTCAGGCACAGAATTATTTCACAGGCTACAAGCAAAACATTGACGAAAATACTGATTAATCAGGACAAAATGAACTGCCCAGTCGAAAAGGGGAGTTCATATATAAGGACAGCTCTAGAAGAACAAATTATCTCAATAAATAGCGATGATGAGACCACCTAACCTGATATGATAGCAGAGGTCGACGCATTATGTAAATGATTTAGCTCTTTTTACGCGTCATCGCGCATGAGCTGCATAGCATCATATTATTTTATGTTATTAATATTATATCATATATATTATATTATTGGATCGTTTAACCATGAAATTTATTTACATAAAGCACGTGTCTTTAAAATTCGAATGTTGCTATCCATTCCAGTACAAAATGCAGATTCGAATTACCTAAATCTTAAAATCCCTTGTAAGTTGATTTATTACTATTATTTACATGAATTTTCACGCTAGAAATACGCATAATTAACTTTTTATTGTTATAAGGAACAATACTCGTCTCACGTTGCAGATTACTCGTGTGCCCTGCAGTCAGACATCTTGCTGCACGGAACGCTCTTCATCTCGACACATTACATAGCCTTCTACTCGAAAATTTTCTACCACGTCAGCAGAGTAAGCTAACTGCGGCCACGTGTAGCAAGTTTTACATGTCTTCAACACTATGTATATAATTTTCTTGATTAAAAAGAATACCATGACTTGTCAATAGACGAGATACCGTATATGCTTTTATTAAAGCATTTTGCGTGCCTCGTAAGCCAAACATCATTGTGAATTCCTCATCATCAGTCATCCTGAAAAATTTAAGTAAGAATGCCTAAACTTGTTACCGTTCACTGGATTCAATAGAAAGCTAATAAAAAAACGTTTTGATTCACAAATTGCTTCAATTGTATATATGAACTCATGATTACTTTAATTATAGTCTCCATTCGTCCAGTTATTCTTTACGCAGAATTATCTTTTGTAGCGAGAGGCGAATAGTTTAGTAGCGTACACATGTACTAGTACTAGTGTGTACTAGTTCCACAGTAATGGAACAGTAAATCTCTCATCAGGTGTTGTTCCCAATATCTGAAGTGAAGCGAATATCGAAGGAGCGTACGGCCAAGTTCATACCCAACGGCATTGGAATTTACTTGCACGACGGGCGCAGCTTCTTGTTTGGGTCGCTGCTGTCCCGCGATGCCACCTACAACCTCCTCATGCAGGTCGCCTCCCAGGGCGGGAGTCTGGCTGTCGGAGAGGCGGAGGCTCCAATCGCGCATAACAACGTGAGTCTCGATGTAACTGCCGATACACGCGTATTACTCTAACGATGCACGCGTATTACTCTAACGATGCACGCGTGATACACGCGTATTTCTCCAACGATGCACGCGTTGCTGAATCGCGAATTGTGCCAGCATCTAAACAAGGGTACAGATCAGAATATCCTATACTACAAGTCATTTTAACTAGAATAAACTAGGCACGATTATTTCGACACACGTATCCACATGACCCAAAAAAAATAGGTACAAAGTAGACCGTTACCTAATCATTGAGCGACGGTAACAATTAAGCAATGTATTATTGAGCTCAGCCAATAAATTCTTCACTACTGAATAATATTTTAAAAAAATGATAGACACACTTCATCAAGTTGAATCCAAACTAGAGCGTTACTTCCTAGGAATCAATGCAAGGACAATGAAATTTGCCCGAAACACGGAGTTGATGAGGGTCTACTGTTCTATTTGGAATAACAAATGGGCAACAATACAAAAGTTGATTTTGATCGTACTGCAAGAGTGTTTGTATGCACTTCTTGCATATTTAATAGGATTTTAAATAAATTTCTGGTGTTCTACAGAGTGACGATGAATCAGCGTCAGTGAGCGATGAGCAAAGTGAGACGACAGAGCAGGAGGGTGCCAGCGCCCGCACGAGCAGTTCTACATCTTCGCCACCCACTCTGCACGCCCACAATCGCCGCTCTATCATCTCCCAGTCCTCCACAACCAGCACCGACCCTCCTAAAAATACAAAATTAAAATCCGTTCCTGAGCAAGGAGATGAGGTGGACGGCGTCCGCGTCGCAGTAGAGAACAAGTCGTCTAAAATCATCTTATATGGCGCACAAAAAGACGAATCGTCTAGTGAGGAAAGCCGTTCAAATTCCAATCAACAAGATAAATCGAACGAGAAGAAAGGCAGAAGATTTCCAATCAACAAGCAATCGCATCAAGAGACGTCCAAGTTCATGAGTGAGTTTAGGACTGCGGTTAATTTCTCAAGTCTGAGTGAAGTAAAATTTCGATCCGCATTTAAGAATGGCTTCTGGACACCAGCCTAAGTGAGCTGCCGTGAAGATTATTACGCATTGTTCATTCCCGCTATGCCCTATTTCGAAAAAATAAAAACCCTTCAAAAAATTGAAGGAAATTTGTATAGTCCAAGGAATAATTGACATCTTCTACGTTGATTCAAAAAAGTCATGTAAATTAAAACTATAAGCCTACAATAACTAATGTTACTCTCTGCCTACAACAACTGATGTTGCGCGCAAAAATGTCGCTCTTGATGCGACGTGAAGGCGAATTGCCAATACCGTACGGACAGAACTCAGATGTAGCTAAAGAAATGAAAAACACTTCCTTAACACCCATGCCAAAAATTCAAGACTTTTGCATGCTCATCTTTCAAACTACTGATTGTATATGAATAGAAAATACTTTCAACTATTTTCGGAATAGGGAATAGTGGCATGAAAAAAAAATTCATCCGTCGATCCCATCATCATTTGTTAAGTTGAAAGCTATCAGCATTGCATTGTTTGAACTCCAACACAAAGCTAATAAGGTTCACGAGGTTCCGTTAACAGCGATGATTTTTTCACGTTTTTGTCACTATAATTAAAAAGTACTCAGATTAGAATATTTTAAAATTTTTTCCTTGTTGACCACCGGGAAAAAAATTCTCCGTTTTCGCAGAACTTCTGATGAAAGTAATCGGGTTCCTGGCTACGCCGCAGTCGACCGCGTTCAACGTAATTCTTGTGGTGGTGTTGGCTCTGCTCTTCGCCTCGGCTGGCATGCTTCTGTACCGCATCGAACGCCTCTCACAGGATCTCGTCTCGCCTTCCATTAGGCGAGATTACATTAAATATGTTGTCACAGGAAGGATTTTCAGTGATATCATCACTATAATCACCACTAAAATCTGAATTTTCAAGAATATGGGATATTTTATTGCATTAAAGTTGTACTTAAGTCAAGTTTATGAGCGCGAATTCACTGTATTTTCGTCGGAACAGAACAGGGATGAAGAACGGAGAATATCTGGAACTTCAGCAGCGCCTTCAGTTCTCTACCGCCACTGGGCTGAAAAGAGCGCTTTCAGCGCAACTCCAGCACCTGACTATGGTGAGCACCGAGGAATGATTCCCAGACACACATAACCCAGAGACAAAATCTTGAGACAATTTATTCGTATTCTTAGTTAAAGAATTTTGATTTTTTAGATCATAAAATAGATCAACTTATGTTAGAACATCAGGCATTTTTACTACAAATGTAAATTGAACTCGCGTTTTCAAAAGCCTTTTGGCAGCTAGATGTTCCTGCGAGGCTTTTATGAAGCTAGCGAAGTAGGCAATACTTATAAATAAAAAAAGTTTCCTTCTCATTAACTGTGTTATTGGTATATTCTTTTAATAGCACCGGTCAACGGGTAAATCATGCGAACAAACTATAGTTACCATTGATTTTCAGGTACGTCAGTCCTTACATGAACTCGCTCGCCTCTTCAAACTCGATCAAGCTGGATGAATCAAAGATGGCTGCCCTCCTGCCGGGTGTCGACGAGACCAACTCTGCATATCATTTAGAAGCACTCACCCCATATACTCAACTCAACGATGCCCAAACTCACGGCGAGATCATTTTGAAGTGATGTTGGAAATAGTATAGTGTTATTATCAATAATTTAAACTATTTTTAAGGTAATTTATAGCAGGTTTTTGTGGATAATATCTTGATGCTTTTAATTGCAATACTTTACATCGACATTATGTTATGAGTAAATGTTTTTACCACAAATAGAGAAACGGGTCAATTATTTATGGGATGAATTTACAGTGAAACTCAAATGTTTAGAGAAAAATACTTAAACTTTTGCTACCAGTGACGCATACTCCTGTGAGTAAAACTTATCTTAACCCTCAAGTGGATGGAGGCTCCTCCATAATATGGTTTATTCGGTTAATACAGTAGTAAATATTGAAGATTCTGAACGTTTCAGCTGGTTCTGGCAAGTATGGCAGACATTTTCTCAACAAGCCACGAAAATATGTTGGGACAGATAACAAATTCGAATAAAAATAACTTGATAGTTTGGGACAGATCACATAATGTCGCAATTGTGGGTCATCCTAAAGGGAGAAATGAATTCTATTCATGCTCAATTTTAATCAATATTTTGTAATGCATGAAATCGTTAATACTAAAAACTGTGAGAATAAATCACGCCTTGTTGAATAAGCAAGAGGACATTCGAAAGTCAATTCAATAAGCTAGTTTTAAGATGTCGCGGCAGGTTCGACTACTTCAATTATGACACAGCAGACAAACTGATAAAGTAAGCAGCATAAGTTCAATATTATGAAAACTTAACTTGATAGAAATTCACCCAAAAATGACGATATAATTGAAAAATATTATTGAAGAATGGCTAATTCAAGAATGTATCAGTAACAATAAAATGTGGTTTTCGTATCCTCACTGACGTTAACGTAGATGTCATCTTTTCTATCTCGATTTTTGTCAGAAGAAACATTAAGCTGTCCCGTATAATACACACAACTCTCGTGTGGCCTTCTTAATGAATGAAATTACCAAACCCTCTCATTTTCCAACAATCAAGAAACTCCAAACCAAGCATTCAATAAAATGGAGCTTCTGAAAACTACAGTAATTTTGTCATTACGAACCACGTTCATCGTTAAACATTAGCACTGTGCGCTATGTCGGCAATAGGGATACTAAAAGTAAAGCAGCATCTATACAGATTAAACAGCATCCGAAGACAAACTGATGCAAAAAGCTGCGTTGTGTTGCGTAGATGAAAAAAACGCTTCTATAGCTTCGTTTATTCTCTACCAGTTCAAATATATTCATCGATTGTGGCCTAAAAAATAAGAACAAACTACAAAACCATGAAAAAAGTATAAAAAAACGATAGAAGAAGCGTTAAATCTATTGCGTATTACCAAATTATCACTTGAATGATCAATCATCCGAATTAGAGTCCTTCTACACCGCGCTGAAAAAGTATTACGAGGAAAACGTGTAACATCAAGACCGAAAAATCAATCATCAGCTGAAAAATAATCTAAAACACTCTGATAACAATGCGATTGCATAAGTGATCCTATGATTAAAGCAAAAAATATTCATTAACAATGTAGAATGTAGCTGCAACTATACTAGATCTCTGCGTAGCGCTGGGCTTTATCTTAAAAAAATCACCCTACTCCCTAGCTCTAGCGGAACATACAGTAAAAGCTAAAATGAAGCCCAAAAAATAGGCCTTTATATTTTTATGTCATCATATTTATCACGTTTTTCATTGGCATAGTAATTTGTTATTAACGCTCCGTTCTAATTTTCAACGTCAGCGAAGACATGACGAATATCAGTGTTATATCAAGCAAGAAAATTACAGTGAATCTCCAACCTAACAGATAGAGGAACGAAATTAAATGAAGACCAATCAAATGAATTAAACTAAGAGAAAATAGTCACAAGTTTTTATTTGCGTCTAAATCAAGTGTCAGGTTAGATTGGATAGACATTTCAAGACTATAGAAGCAATCAAAATTCATAGGACCTGGAAAGATAAAGATTTCTCTACCTTCTGTGACGTTACTCGGTGTAAATTCAGCCAAAACACATCAGCTAATGACTAAATTATATTATTGTTTACATTGAAACCGCATTGAAACGTTTTTCTATGGAACATACAGCATTTCTGGCTAATTACATCGCACCAGGGACAAATGTTTGACAATAACCTCAATAAATTAGTACAGAGAGCATACACAATTTTTGCAACGAATTCTTGCACCAGCAAGCAGGAGAATCGCCATTGATATACTCTCCCAAGAATGCAGAACCCAGCATGTTTCAGTTTCTTCTTCATATTATTCTAGAATATTATTGTTCAGAAAAGGCAAGTAAACATTTACTGAGGGCTGTCTTAAGATATAATTCCCTCACGAAAGTTGGGACATATTTAAATTAATAGGTCATATTGTTTTTATAGCGACACACTTCCTGCAGGTAGCACCAACACGCCTTTTTACATGATCAAACTTGGACATGACGACCCACAAAAGGGAAAAAATTGTATCACTTTGAACAAAGTCCCCCTCATTTCTCTGATTGCAATGAATAACGCAAAGATGACAATGCCCAGACACTTCATCAGAGACTGACTCAACAGCGCTCAGCACACGGCATATCTTATTAATGCTAACAGATTTGCTCAGAGGCAAACATTGATTGGTAAAAATTACAGTTTCCCTCATCTAGTCCCAAGGATTTTAATTGTGTTTTTTAAAAGCATTAAAAAGTATTCAAAAGCCTTTTGTATAAAACATTAAAAACGATCAAATAAATCAGAATTCAACAACAACACATTTTCATGTTGAACAATATGGACAAGGACGCTGGAAGTGCTCAGGGTGAAGCGAATAATGAGAATGAAAGTATCCGTGCCTCGAAAACTTCTTAAGGCATATAGGGCACGCGAATGGCCTCTCGCCAGTGTGCTGCATGCGGTGTATCTTCAAGTTGCTGTGCTGGCTTGACCTGTATGGACAAAACTCACAAGCGTAGGGCTTTTCGCCTGTGTGCTTTCGCATGTGAGTTTTGAGGTTGCTTTGCTGTCGCGCTCGGTAGTCGCACATGCTACAAGCAAATGGTTTCTCTTTGGTATGCTGGCGAAAGTGAGTCTTGAGGTTACCGAAAAGCGTTGTTGAGTACTCGCACAAATTGCACATGTAGGTTCTTCCTTTCAGGTTGCCTGAAGAAGTGGCTCCATCAGCGAGTGGTTCAGGAGGCTGGCCATCAACATAAGCTATAGTGAAGCTGTCGGGCGGCAGCTCCTGCAGGTACCGCCCTGCCAGTGCCTTGTGGTTAGAGTCTTCGTCTGACGGCGCTGATCCACGCACGTTTAATGTAGAAGATAAATTGGCGTCTTGGTCGAGTTTAGTGGTGCGGCTCTGCAGCACATTAGGTTCAACGCCCAGGGCTTCAGGTTTGTACGACTTAGGTAGCCAACTGAGGGCGGTCTCTGTATCCTCGTGCGTGAGATTAGCCATTGAAGACAAGGATCGAACCGAAGACAACGATGGTTGAGGCAAGCCATCCATACACAGAGTGACCGGACAAGCTGCCACACAACTCAATCTCATTTCGATGCCATCCATCTGTTGACAAACAAGAGAACGTTGGAGATTTTTGTACATGCAGATAGCCCAATAGGAACAATAAACCAAATATGAGTATATATTAGCCGTCAATCAACGGTGAATAATTTGAATTCAACAGTCGAATTATTTGTAATATTTATTGAAACGCTGATACGATACTTTATGTAAAATGTTAACATCATGCGGAGTAAGGCAGGTGAGAAAAATTCATAAGCAACTTGCAATGCAATATAAAACAGAGCCTCTCGATAGATTCACGAGCATGCTGTGGTACTTTAAAAATACATTGTGGGTAACAATTAAACATTCATGCTAATGCCTTGTGGGTAACAATTAAACATTCAAGCCTGTGCCAATGTGGCATAGAAGCGGCGCGTAAGATAGTAAAATGTTCGGTGAATTTTCCGTGGACTTCTTGATAAGACCAACAAAATTTGGCTACGCCTTCCGTAATAGACGCTTGGGTAAGAATCAAAACTGAAAGAGCTAAACAGACATTACAACAATGGATTTAAAACAAAGTCACACTTCCGTCATGTGAACACAGTTCTTGTCATAGGATTACTTGCAGCTGAGGTAGCCAGACGAAAAAAAAAAATTTAAGAAAGGTCAGCGATCTGCTTCGTAATCAGAATCAACCTATGCCTCTGAATTAATTAAGGGCACAAGTGTGTCCATATTTCCTGCAGCTTCCTTCAAGACAACTTTCCGATTCGCCGAGAAACAATTGCCATTATAAAGTGCTTAAAAACGACAGGATAATAAACAGTCGCTGTTGTTTATCAAAACATTTTACTTCAAGTCACTTTTAGTATAAAATAAAATGAGAATGACGATGATAATAATGAAAATAATAATATTAACTAGTAATAATGAATTAATACACAAAATTAAATAATAATTATCACCATCCAAAAATGCTGTCCAATAACCAAAAAGTTAAAACGTTCATGAACGCTTCGGAACAAGCTTTTTCGCACAGAACCGCAATTATGCTTCAACAATTATAACTGGTCTCAATAATTCTGTATTGTCTTAAATAAAACTTGTTTTACCCGCAAGCGCGGAAGGTTTTACAAGGAGAGCCAGAAGAATCTAGCGAGAAAGGAACTGCGTTTGGCAACTCAGCAAAAGGAGAGATGAAAAATTAGAAGAACATCCAAGAACGAAGACAGTCCTTCCTCTCGAAATGACTGAGACCAACAGTCAGCTTTGTGTGTATAGCACGGCGGTTAAGAATGAGGTAGAAAAAACTTCAAAAGCGTTAATGATGAGTAAAGAGACGCTCCTGAGAATATACTTCTAATGTCGTAATATACTCCTGAGGGAGACTGAATCACAAGAATTAGGTGCAAACTCTATAATTAATCGCTGTATATTCTTCATATCCTGCAACTCTAGAGCAGGGTAATGCGTCGTATTCAATGTTAAAGGCTTCTTAATTTAAATGTTGAGTCGAGACCATTATCGCCAACTATGTCAGGAGGAGAAGACTTCAACATATACAGACCAAAAAACTTTTTTTCAGTCAACCTAAAACTTCAGAATTCGTGTAGATAAATGTTATCGATTAAGACCTACTACAGTCATTGAAAATTTTACGTTATTAGATAATTAATTAAAATAATATTTCTTTTGAACTTGAGCGAAGTTGATAAATATTAATACGTTATCATCCAGACATAAACAGCTTAATGATAAACAAAATATCTTCACAAACAACCAACGTATAAAATACCGGGATTAATACCATAAACCAATAGCAAAATTAGAATGCAATAGAGCAATTAGACAAAGTAAAACTTCAACCAAATAAAAATATCAGCCTCAGAAATGTGTGCGTGGTAAGACGTCGGTTCATCACCTACCTATTATTTATTTGAAAGCCTGCATGAGAAGACCATTCATGCGTCAATAATCAAACCAGAGCAACTTTTAAGCATATGTACGGATTAATTTGCAATTGAAAATAACTTTACTTCGTAAGATTATTTCACGGTATCAAAAGTACATTTCTTAACAATATACCAAACAAATTACGCAAGATGACGCTAAAATTTTCTGGAATCTTATTAAAGCGAACATCAAAAAACTATATTCAAGATTCATTTCGAAATTGACATGCTGATAAATAACATATAAATTCAATAAATTAATCAAACTACGCACATAATGATACCTTAGCAAGTTGAGAACAGATGAATTGTAAAAAAATGGAATGCGAACACCGCGCCATTATACTAGCTCTTAGCTCTAGCAGGTTCATGGAAGATGTTATAGAAATCCTCGCTGTGGTGACGGAATACGTGCGTTTTGAGGTTGGACATTTGAGTAGCGCGATATTCACACTTGGGGCACGGAAAAGGCTTTTCTTGATTGTGTGTTCTGACGTGAGCCTTCATATTGCAGAGTTTCTTCGAGCGGTAGGAGCAAACACGGCAGGTGTAAATGGCCAAGTGAGTCTCATCGTCTAAGCTACGCGTGTACAAAGTGTCCGAGTCTGAAGGCCTCCACAGAGCCAGCGAGGAGGTCGACATGGATTCTGAGTTCAGTGGAACTCGATCGACCAAGGATTCAGGTCCCAAAATGCGGTGAAAAGACATGTTATCGAACGAGGAAACATCGGCGTACTGAACATTCGATGACGTGTTTAAGCTAGATAAATACTCGATATCTTGACTGACATTGAAGTTACGAGAGTAACTCGATTCTTGAGGAATAAGACGATGATCCTTACAGTCCCGACTTCCGTGTCGCTTTTCAGTCAGTGAATACATTTCCGGGCGAAGAGGTCGATGAGATTTCACGCCAGTTGGAAAGGATGGTGGCTTTAGTGCCGCGGAATTCTTCCCAAGAGCAAACATCTGCAAAGAAACGGAACACTAATGAAGAGCTGCAGCAGACGTCGATCTCAGAGGTTCATTACAAACTCGTTTCACATGGAACATTTTTACTTACAACAGTAGCAAAATTCAGTACCTTTGGTCCTACCATAGTGAGTACCATTCCGCACCTTTGGTCACCCCATATTAAGTGGAAAAAAATCAGATTTAAATTATCAATTGGACTTTGTTCCAAGTTTCTTGTAAGTTTGCATTGAAAGGTTTGCACTTTCTTCTTCGGCAATTTTAGTCCTCAGGCAAAAATTTATTTTAAAAATAGTTATTCTACCACGCAAATACTTTAGAATTTTCGAGCTAAAAATATACTGCAAAAATGACAGTGATTTTTTGCCAACAGAAAAACGGTAACTGATTGAATCGGTAATTTAATGATACACGCGCATTGTATTGATATTCGCAGATCGCAAGCGCTACGGTGAGCAGGTGCCAGCAATGAATTTTTGTTCAGCTGTATATTAAATTAACGAATTTTCTCTTATCACAAGATACTAAATTTTATGGTAATTAAAACGTGCAAATTGTTTCGAGGCGTGGAGATGCTTCTTCTATTCAGGTTGATAGCAACGAAAAGTAAATTGTAAGGAAGGAAACAAAAGTAGCAGCTCAGGTTTTCACGTTTGTTATCAATTTTGAAATACAAAGATGAAGCATAATGTATGCGTCCTAAATCATATACTATACGCAACAAAACATTTTCCTGAAGGTTTTGAAATGTGGTTTAAATATTATATTTTGTGCCGCATCGAAATCACTTTAAAATTATTCCTCTTAAGTCATGGCCCAGATTTACAAGATAAACAACTCACTGCCAGTTGTTTGCTGCATTAAGACCGACATACACGAGTGATGAAAAATTCATATCCATACAGGAAGATTTAAATTGAATTATAAGTAATCTGAATAATAAGATGATTTTCGAAGTAAGTCGCTAAAGAACTTATGGTACGCGAACTAACGTTTCAACAGAGGTTGAAGTATTCCAGCAGAAAAAAAAGATCAATAACTTGTACATAATCACTTACTGTAGCTCACAATAAACAGCGTGAAATGCTGAAAGGTCTTGTGAAAATGAAAAAAAATGAAAAATCATCTTATAATCCGTTGAGAGTTTAAGGGTGTACTCGTGAATGATTATTCAGAAACAGTTCGACCCAGATGTTTAGAGTTGATTCACCGTTTCGAGGCAAAAACGACTTCCATTCTACCCAGTCCAAAAAATTAATGATCCACATAACACTCAACTGAATATTCTACAACAATATTTCTTGTAGGCACTGCTTGCACATATTCAGCTGAAAAATTGTACCCTGGTAAGAACATGATTTACCTATAGAGTAAATGTCAAGTCTGTAAGGCTTAATGGACCAAGTAATAAAACAATAAAGAGTATCCTCATTTTTCTGTGATGATTGCGTAAAGCAATCCAAAAGTAATATTCTACCTAATGAAAGAGAGCAACAGTGGCGGATGACTATCAAACTAGCATCCCTATACAATCAAAGCCCAAGAATATTCAAATAGCTAAATAATAACAACTTAAGTATATTTCACAGAGGCAGGCACATGGGCATGAATGAAATCATTATAGCGTTTATGCGAGCAGTTTGAGTGCAATTAACTTATATATATAGAGCTTCTATTCTCAGTTCAGTCATAGTTTATTGGCACATGGTTTACCAGCGCTTGTTAGTGCCAATAAACTTGTTAGTTTATTGGCACATGGTTTACCAGCGCTTATATACTATCAGGATAGCTCGTATCGGACGTCGAGAATACACATCCCAACATCGTGAGAGGTCTAAATTAAAGAGAATTTCCCGAATCATAGAAAGTTTAGCATCAACAAGAGACAAAAGATCTGAAATGACTGGCCGTTTGAAGTGAGGAGCAACATTAGCATCTCACAGAGATAAAATCCCATAGAATTTCTGACGAGCATAAACGACTATCAGAAGACCTCTGTGAGGGAAATAACGTTACAAATCGCAAGGCAAGATGCTGTATTGAACAAAAGCGACGCACGAGTCTTGTAATGCTAATTGTTAACTTAAAATCAGCTCTAATGAGAAGTTCGAGAAAACGGATGATCAAAAA